GAAAGAGGGGCAGCTAGGTGGTGCAGTGGATAGAGCTCCTGCCTTGGAATCAAGGAGTTCAAACCCAGCCTCAGACATTTGACATTTACTAGCTGTGTGACCCTGGGCAAGTCACTTAACCCCAATTGCCTAAGCAAGAAAAGGATAAATACAAGCACATTCCTTATGATAGGACAATAGTTTTCAAAGTCTGGGTCCAGGGACTCATGGGGACAAGGGTGTACTAGTAAATATTTAACAACTGGTTCTCAAAAAATAAGGCATGGCATACTTTTAAGTTTAGCCTGCATTCTTAGCATTTTCCATCATTCTTAAGCCTAGATAATTAACAAAACAGTAGATTAACCCCTGATTTGTAATCTTCATAGATTTCCCAAGTGTAAATGCTCACAGTGAAAACTTGACAATAGGCCAGTATAGCTGACACTCCTGACTAGGCCCTTTCAAGGGGTCCATGAGGTCAAAACTATTTTCATAATAAACTAAGACATTTTAATTTCTAATACAAAAATACCAACAGATATAACACATATAACAGAAGTTCAGGGTGGGAGCTCAATAATTTTTAAGAGTAGAAAGGGGGCATGAGACCAAAAAGTATGGGAATTGCTGCTGTAGGGAGCTAAAAGATTGGGTCAGGTTTTTTTCAGTGGGAGTTGATCCACAGACTTGGAGGTATTAGGAGAAAGAGGGGGAAAATTCTACTATAGAAACTTGACCTACAAATTCAGGATTTAGCTACCCCTGGAAATCACAAGCCAGTGAGAGTGGCAGGCTGTAGGGATGTGACAGTCAATCAATAAACATTAAGCATCTACTCTGTGCCAAGCACTGAGCTAAGCACTGGGGATATAAAGAAAGGTCAAAGGGAGTCCCTACCATCACAGAGCTTACAAGCTAAAGGGGGAGATAACATAAAAACAACAATATACAAACAAGCTATAGACAGGATAAATCGGAAATAAACAGAGAGAAAGCACTAGAATAAGAGGGACAAGTGGGCAAATTCACTTTCATTTTCAAACTCAAGGTCACTATTCTATTAGTGTGGGCTCAAAAGAAAGGCTTCTATACCCCAGGGGAGGAGAGAGATAAAAAAAAAAAGGCACATCAAAGTAGAGAGTTGACACCCTCCCCTACCACCCAGCACACTGGAGACTTAACCTGCTTTGCTCACAGCCATCTGCCTATCCAAGTGATTTTGTTGTGTTGTTAAATATTTCCCAATTACACATAAAAAAAATTTTAACAGTCATTTCAAAAAATTTTGAGTTCCAAATTCTCTTCCTCCCTCCCACTTCCCACCCCTCATTGAAAGCAGACAGTTTGATATAGATTATACTTACGAAATATTGTGTACCTAGTCTGTTCCACTGATCCACCACTCTATTTCTTAGCCAGTACCAGATAATTTTCATGATTACTGCTTTGTAATACAGTCAGAGATCTGGTGCTGCTAGGCTGCCTTCCTTAACATTTTTTTCCCATTGATTCCCTTGATATTCTTGACTTTTGTTCTTCCAAGTGAATTTTGTCACTGTTTTTTCTAGCTCCATAAAATAATTCTTTGATAGTTTGATTGGTATGGCATTGAATAAGCAATTAATTTAAGTAGAATGTCATTTTTATTATACTGGCTCAACCTATCCATGAGCAAGTAACATTTCTCCGATTGTTTAGATCTGTCTTTATTTGTGTGAAATGTATTTTGTAATTATGTATGTATAATCTCTAGGTTTGTCTTGGCAGGTAGACTTCCAAGTATTTCATATTGTCTGCAGTTATTTTAAATGAATTTCTCTTTCTATCTCTTGCTGCTGGGTTTTGTTGGTAGTATACAAAATGCTGATAATGTGCATGGATTTATTTTATATCCTGCAACTATGCTGAAATTATTAATTGTTTCAAGTAGTTTTTTAGTTGATTCTCTAAGTATACCATCATATCATCTGCAAAGATTATTTCTTCATTGTCTATTCTATTTTATTCAATTTTTTCTTGTCTTATTGCTATAGGTAGCATTTCTAGGACAATATTGGAATAATAGTGGTGATAATGGACACCTTTGCTTTACTCCTGATCTTATTGCGAAGGCTTCAAGTTTATCCACATTATAGATAGTTCTTGCTATTGATTTTAGATAGATACTATTTATCATTTTAAGAAAAGTTCCATTGATTCCTATGCTTTTTACTATTTTTAGTAGGAATGAGTATTGTATTTTGTTGAAGGTTTTTCTGTATCTATTGAGATCCTAATATGATTTTTATTGTTTTTGTTATTGATATGATCAATTATGCTCATAGTTTTCAATATTAGTATTGAACTTGCATTTCTGGTACAACTCTCACCTAGTCATAGTGTATGATCTTTGTGCTATATTGCTATCATCTCCTTGCTAGTATTTTATTTAAAAAATTTAAATCAATACTAATTAAGGAGATTGGTTTACAGTCTTCTCTCTCTCTTTTTGCTCTCCCTGGTTTAGGTATTAAAACCATATGAAATTTGGTAGGACTCCTTCTTTACCTATTTTTTTCAAATAGTTTATACAGTATAGGGATTAGTTGTGCCTTAAATGTTTGGCAGAAGCCATTTGTAAACCCATTTGATCATAAGGATTTTTTTCCTTAGGAAGCTCATTGTTGGCTTGTTCAATTTCTTTTTCTTAGATAGGATTATTGAAGTATTCTATTTCCTCTTCTGTTAATCTGGGCAGTTTATATTTTTGTACATATACAACCATTTCACTTAGATTATCCATTTTACTGACATATAATTGGGCAAAATAACTCTTTATAATTGCTTTAATTTTATCTTCATTGATGGTATATTCACCCTTTTCATTTTTGATACTAGTAATTTGATTTTCTTCTTTATTTTTTTAAAAATCAAATTAATCAATAGTTTATCTATTTTATTGATTTTCTCCCCATAAAACTAGATTTACTTCAGGATTTCCATTTTGATATTTAATTGGGGATTTTTAATTTGTTCTTTTTCTAGCTTTTTTAGTTTCATGCCCAATTCACTAGCTTGCTCTTTCTGTCTTTTATAGTTGTATGAAGTTAAAGATGTAAATTTTCCCCTAAGTACTACTTTGGCTACATCCCACAAATTTTGGAATGTTGTCTCATTGTTGTCATTCTCTTCAATGAAATTATTGATTGTAATGATTTGTTTTTTGACCCACTCATTCTTTTTTTTTTTTTTAGGCAATTGGGGTTAAGTGACTTGCCGAGGGTTCACACAGCTAGTAAGTGTCAAGTGTTTGGTCTGAGGCCAGATTTGAACTCAGGTCCTCCTGACTTCAGGCTTGGTGCTCTATCTCCTGCAGACCCACTCATTCTTTAGGATTAGATTATTTAGTTTCCAATTAACTTTTAATCTGTGCTTCCACAGCCTTTTATTAAATGTAATTTTTATTGCATCATGGTCTAAAAGAGTGCATTTAATATGTCTGCTTTTCTCCATTTGTTTGTGAGATTTTTATGCCCTAATACATGGTCAATTTTTATGAAGGTACCATGTACAGCTGAGAAAAAGGTATATTCCTTTCTATTCCCATCTCCAGAGGTCTATCATATCTAACTTTTCTAAAATTTTATTCATCTCCTTAACTTCTTTCTTATTTATTTTATGATCAGATTTATCTAGCTCTGAGAGGGGCAGGTTGAGGTCTCCCACTAGAATAGTTTTACTATCTATTTCCTCCTATTATTCATTTAAGGGGCAGGTAGGTGGCACAGTGGATAGAGTGACAGGCTTGGAGTCAGGAAGATTCATTTTCCTGAGTTCAAATCCAGCATCAGATACTAGCTGTGTGAGCCTGGGCAAGCCAATTAACCCTGTTTGCCTTAGTTTCCTCATCTGTAAAATGAGCTGGAGAAGGAAATGGCACACCATTCCAGTATCTCTGCCAAGAAAACCCCAAATGAGGTCATAAAGGGTTAGACACAACTGAACAACAACATCCATTAATCCATCAACAAACATTTTCTAAGCTCCTACTATGTGCCAGGCAGTGTGGTAAGCACTAGGGATACAAAAGAAGCAAAGGACAGTGTCTGCCTTTAAGGAGCTTGTGATATAATGGGGGAGAAAATATGCAAACAAACATATGCAAAGCAAGCTATGGGTAGGATAAATGGGAAATAACTAAAAGAGGGAAAGCAGTGGAATTAAGGAAGGGTTTCTATAGAAGGTGGGATTTTAGTTGGAACTTAAAGCCAAGGGGTTAGAAGTCACAGCAGAGGAGTCAGGAGGATCTGGATTCAAATCCAGCCTTAGACTCTTACCAAATGTATAATCCTGGGCAAGTCACTTGACTCTAATTGCCTCCAAAAACAAAAATGGCTCAAAGAAGAAGAAGACTGGAAGGTAGGAGGGGGCTAGGTTATGGAGGCCTTTGAATGCCAAACAGCATTTTGTATTTGTTCCTGGAAGCAATAGAGAACTGCTGGAGTTAATTGAGTGTGAAGGTTGGAGAAGGGGCTGACGTGGGTTTTAGGAAAATCACTTTAGTGGCAGAATGGAGGATGATGGATTGGAGTGGGGAGATACTTGAGGCAGGCAGACCCCTCAGCAAGTTATTACAGTAATCGAGACAGTAATGTCTGTCTGTCTGTCTATCTATTTATCCATCCATCCATCCGTCTCTCAAACTTCTTCACCATTTAATTCCATACTGGCAGGGAATAGGTATGTAATCCCCCAACCTCCATGTGGTCAGAGAAGGGAGAGACAGCTGTAGGGATGGATGGCTGCCGAACAAAAGCGAGACAGATACTTCTCCTTTCACAAGCTGGCCATCACCACTCCTACCACCCCACACTGCAGACACAGACAAACAGAAATCTTGTTTTTTTGTTGTCCGTCTGCTTCCTTTGTTTTTTCCCTCCCTGTGGTTAGTGGCTCTTAGCTCATGTTGGGACAGATCCCCACTGGGAGGGATTTTCAGCCACAGAATCATAAATGAAGAAGCAGGAGATGTGACTCACATTTCATGTTTAGTGAATCAATCAGCTGGTCCTCTTTGAGAACAAACAACAATTGTTGATTACCAGTGTTCATTAAACACCTACCATACACTGTGCGAGATGCTGAGGGAAGAAAGAGAAAAGAAAGAAGTCTCCGCCCTCAAGGAGCTTCCTGTTATGGGAGAAATAAGAGGTACACGTGAATAAAAATAACATATATAACAATACATAAAGTATATTTTTATATAATATATATATATGAAGTAAGTCAATGGCAGTTTTGGAGGTAGACTAAAAGCTGGGGGTGGGGATGGGGTGGGGGAGCAAGAATCAGGAAAGATTCTCATTGTATTTGGTCCAACAGGCATCACGAGGTCACTGGAGCTTTTCGGTAAGGGGAATGACATGGTCAGATGTACATTAGTGAAACTTGGCAGGAGATAGAGAACTAGACAGACAGTCCCAACTAAAATCCGACCTTCTATAGCAACCCTTCCTTAATCTCTCTTAATTCCAGTACTTTCCCTCTTTTAGCTATTTCCCATTTATCCTACCCATAGCTTGCTTTGCATATGTTTGTTTGCATATTTTCTGTCCCATTGTATCTTAAGCCCCTTAAAGGCAGATTCTGCCCTTTGCCTCTTTTGTAACCCTGGTGCTTACCACTGTCTGTCTAGTTCTCTATCTCCTGCCAAGCTTCACTAATTTACTAAGACATGGGGGTGATATAAAAATACCAATAAAAAATTTAAATGCTTTAGATTATATATTTATTTCCAAATTATAAAAGACAAGAATTTTGTAATACACCTTGAGAAAAGAGGAAATAATCTGGGATAAAACCAGAATTCACGATTAGTTTCACTATCTAGCTAGCTAGACATAGTGAGCAAGCATTTATTAAGTGCATACTATGTGCCAGTACCATTCTAAGCACTGAGGATATAAGCACAAACAAAAAGAAAGATCATTCCTGACCACGAGGAGCTCACATTCTAATGGGGAAATAACATATGAAATGGAACTGGGAAATGTAGAGATGAGAGGGAAGGTAGAGACGTCATCAAGAGCAGTTATGGGTAGAGTTAGAATTGAAGTGAGTGTGATTTGACTGTATACTTCCTCAAATGGAGCTTCTGGGAAGGAATTAACTGATTGGAGAAGGAAGTTATGGGGAAGAAGCGTTGCCAGCCTGTGAAGGCTGCCAGGATAGAGGTGGAGTAGTCTAGGAAGTCACAGGTTTGAAGTGAGGAAGATCACTTTGGCAGCTGTATAGATGCCGGATTGAAAAGGAGAGGCCAATTGGGAGGCCACTGGCAATAGTACAGGTGATAAGGGCCTGGACCAGGCCATAACCATATGAGTGAATGCTACTTCATCCACTTCTCTGGGCAAAGAGCCGTCCCTGGAATGAAAGGAATGTTCCATGTATGGCAGATTAAGATAAAGTAATGCTTTCTCTCCCATTTGCAAGCAGATAGGGGCCGATGGAGACTAAATTGGTTCAAGAAGTGTCATTAAGACCGGCACAGTCTCCTTTTTGCTATCTTAGAGAGTCCTTTTGCTTTGAGTAGAGAACACAGTACAGAAATTACCTTGCCCATTCCCATCCTTTGTATGCTACTGAAACATTCTCTGTTGTAGCTTCCTGAGATAAGAAGTAACATTAATAGGTCCTGATTGAGTCTCGGGTGAATAGAGACTACATGCAGGTAGGTGCTGGAGTCTGTTTGAACCAGAGAAAGGGGACCTGTTGGTAAATTTCCAGTGTGAGCATTTACACCTTGGAAACTGGCAAAAACCAATGTCCAGTGCTTGACTTATTGTTTTGCTGATTTCTAAACTTAAGAAAGTGATGGAGAAATTATTGACAATGCAAATTAAAATTAAAAAATATTTTGTCAGATATTGAGACATGGGAGTGATAGAAAAATATAATAAAAAAATTTAAGTGCTTTAGGTTATATATTCATTTCCAAATTATAAAAGCCAAGAATTTTGTAATATAACTTGAGAAAATAGGAAACAATCTGGGATAAAATCAGAATTCATGATTATAGGAAATATAGGAATATAACTTTCTTGGGGAGGAGGAGGGTATTTGTGTCTCAGAAGAAAGACCTTGTTAGTGAAGGAATTAATAAGATTATTAGAGTTGCATGGATACTCTGACCTTAGAGCTGAAGTAGGGGAAACCCCCTACCTCAAAACATACAGTAATGGGGGACTGGCCAATGAGGGTTCAGCTCTGGGAGTATACATGGGGGACTTATTTGAATGTTCGAGAGACTGCTTCTAGATATTTATGATGATTTGGAATGGAGGAGCCTAGCTCTCCATTTCAGAGCATATGCAGATATCTCAGACTCTTTCAGGTCTGCTTACCACATGGTGATGAAAAGGCTTTTCAGTTGGCAATTGAGTAGGAGCTGAGTGTTCAAAAATCATTAGCAGGCTTTAATAGGTCTCAGTTTCTCTTTTTCTCTTCTTCTTCTTCTTCCTCCTCCTCCTCCTCTTCCTTCTTCTTCTTCCTCCTCTTCTTTTTCTTTCTCTTCTCCTCCTCCTCCTCCTCCTCCTCCCTCTCCTTCTTGCCTTTATTATTTCTGCTCTTTGCTACTCTTAGGTGAAGGAGTATTAGAAACATAATGTACTAGGCTACAACCTTATGGACTTTGAAAAGTCAGGAGTACTGGGCCCCTTCCAAACATCCACTAGAGTAGTCTCCTTTGTATGCTTCCGGAGCTGAGCCCTGTTTGGTCAGTCCCTTATTTGCAATACTTTCTGAAGCAACTTGGCAGAGTAGATAAAGTGCTGGACTTGAGTCAGAAAGATCTGGGTTTGAATGCTTAGAAAAGATTAAGTCACCTCTCTGATCCTGTTTCCTCATCTATAAAATGGGGATAACCTCACAGGGTTGTTGTGAGGATCAAATAAGATAATGTAAGCAAAGCACAGAGCTATATAAATGTAAGCCGTTACTGATATAGTATCATAATGGCTTCAAGTCTTTCCTCTAATACACACCTGGGCAAATCACCTTACACCTCAGTGCCCCAAGGCAATTACCTCACTGAGAGTTCCATGTACCAGTGTAATCACAGGTCCTGTCCTGCCCCATTCCATAAATTAAATATAAATTCCTTGAGGGCAGGAATGCTTTCATTTTGTTTTGTGCTTAACAAATGCTTTTGTTGGTAGATTAATGCTATTCACTGTTACCTTTGGGGCTTCAGGTATTTAGCTCTGAGTCTGTTTCTCTACCTATGAAGTGAGAAGATTGGACTCTATGACTCCTTCTTGCGCTATATCCTTGGAAAGTAATTAATTCAAAGCACAGTCACCAAGCATTCTCAATATCTGACAATCTTTGCTTATTCCTAGCTGGTAGTCAGATACATATTATTTGGGTATTTGTAACATAAATAAAATTTGAAGCTGGAGGTTCTGACTACAGATCCAGTTATTCTTTCTATTGAACTGCAAAACCCAGCTAGGTCCCTTCCACTCCCCTACCCAGCAAGCTTTCTCTAGTAACAAAGAATGAAAAAGAAAGGGGGGTAGGATGGGAAGCAAGCAGTTCAGAGAATGGAGTCTCAGTCAAAGGAGTCTGACAGTGTATGTAACATTTTATACCCATACCTTTCCATTTGTTCTGTAGCACTTTGAAGAGGAAATGGGTTGTAGCTCAAAATTCAACAAATTTAAGTTTGGGGAATCATTGCACTTGAAAGAAAATTGACCCAATTCCAAGTCTGGCAATAGGCCTCCTCTCATCCCCAACCTGCATCTCTGTCTCTCCGGAATGGCTTAACTAACTTAAGTAACTAAAGTGATGTAGATGATATCAAAGTCCAAGGGGCCCTGCCCTGAGTGAGTCAGGGACTGGCACTGACCAGAGTTGGGGACTGGCACTAGCCAGGAAGGCGGTTTTTCAGAGGAAGTCTCAAGGGGGTGTTCCTTGGAAGCAACCCTGTGTAAATTACCTGCTTACTAATACAGCGCCTAATTCACAAAAGGGGAAAGGCAGGAAGAAGGAGAACCTGCAATATCAGAGGAAAAGGAGGAGACAAAGGTAGATCTGGGAGGCAGAGAAGGCGGAGGGAGAAGAAGGAAGTCTGCCTTCGGAGGTGAGGTCTTTGAGCCGTAGAGGGTGGAGCTGCTTTTAACTGCTGGCTTCTCCTCCCGGCAGCACAAGCTGGAGCTAGCCTCTCACCGAGGATGGAGCAAGAAGGCGGAGTGCTAAAGGAAGGCTTCCTTGTGAAAAGGGTGAGTGAATGTCCACCTACAGGCTAACTATCCCTGGGGTTTTGTTTTTTTCCTTCCAGGGAGGACTTTTCCCTAGAGGGACAGAAATTGTCTTATAGGTGGAGGGCTAGACCTGGTTCCCGGCCTTCCCTGCCTCCCCTGCCCAGCCCCTGAGATCCCTTTTTATATCCTTTTACAGAATGTTGGGCTGTGCTTCAGCCCTGGAGTTCCACCCCCTCATCCTCAACACCGCCCCCCCACCTCCCCAATCTTTTAAGTCTCCCAGTGCCCCTCTCTCTGGTCCTGACCTGCACCCTCCTACCTTGATTAGAAGGCAGACATGCCATGTGACAAGCATTCTTCCAATTTACTGAATTCAAAAGAGCAACCTAACTGGGCCCTTCCCTGAAGTATTTTGGGAGGCTAAAGGTGTGGTCTGTGAAAAATTAAGAGGGAGAAACATTTCCAGTTGTGGCCTGTGGCTTGTGGGGAGGGTGGAGGTGGGTAGGAAACAACCCAACTTGTCCAGAAGGAAGAGGACAACTCTCTGCAAGAGAGACACAGATGATGTCAGTGTTAAGAGTGAAGGAAACCAAATATCCACTATAGTAAAATTTTATATTAATGTTACTAATAACTGACATTTATAAAAGGCTTTAAGGTTTGCAAAGAGCTTTACGTATATCATCTCACTGGAGTCCAACAACCCCATGAGCAAATGAGGAAACTGAAGGCCAGAGAGGCCAGACTTGCCTTTGGACAAGGCAGCTAGCATCAGAAGTGAGATTTGAAGTCACTAGGCAGCCTTTCATTGCTACAATTCCAACATACAATTAATAATTAGTTTTTGATTAATAATAAAAATAATAACAACTAGTATTTATATACACTTTAAAGTTGGCAAAATACTTTATTTTCTCATTTGGTTTTTACTACAACCCTGGGAGGTAGGTGCTATTTTATGCACATTTGATAGTGCAGTAGATGGAATGCTTGACTTGGAATTAAGAAGACCTGAGTTCAAATCTGGCTTCAGACACTAGCTGTGTAACCCTGGGCAAGCCACTTAACCCTGTTTGCCTCAGTTTCTCCATCTGTAAAAAGAACCGGCAAGGAAATGGCAAACCATTCCAGTCTCTTTGCCAAGAAAACCCCAAATGGGATCACGAAGAGTCAGACATGACTGAAAACCAGAAGCTAGTGATCACTTAACCTCTAATTCAGTTTCGTCATCTGTAAAATGGGAATAATAACATCATCAACCTCCAGGATTGCGGTGAGGATAAAATGAGATATTCATAAAGTGACTTGCAATCCTTCAAGCACTATATAAATGCTAGCTTTTGTTGCTAGAAGAGGAAAGTGAGGCAAAGAGATTGTAACTTGCCCAAGATCATAAACTAGTAAGTATCTGAAACAGGATTTGAACTCGGGATCGGTTATGAGATATTATTGTATAAAACAAATATATCTATGTTATGCAATGTTTATTATGTGGGAAGGTATTACTATTTGCTTAAGTAGGAGGAATTAAAGGAGGGGCTAGATGAGGCTCATGCTGGCACCAAGGTTCAGACAGAAATGTGGCTACATTGGCTTTGACTGAATTGGAATGATAAAGTCTGGTTTTTTTTAGAATTGTTAGGTTATAGACAAAACATTGAGAGCTTTGTGATAGACTAGGGGCAGGCCAGGGCAGTATTGTTAGTCAAGATTAGGGGGCTCTGGAAGAGGTTCTAGTAGGGGGATGAAATTAACAGAGAAAACAAACTCAGTAGGGGTAGCTAGGTGGCACAGTGGATAGATTGCTGGGGCTAGAGTCAGGAACACTTATCTTCCTGAGTTCAAATATGACATTAGACACTTCCTAGCTGTGTGACCCTGGGCAAGTCACATCACCCTGCTTGCCTCAGTTTCCTCATCTGTAAAATGAGCTGGAGAAGGAAATGGCGAACCCCTCCAGTATCTGTGAAGAAAACCCCCAGTGGGGTCATGGCAAGTGGGCCAGGACTGAAATGACTAAGCAGCTATAAAAAGTTCTTTCACTCCAAGCTACTTGGGGTGGACCTTTCCTAGAGAAAAGCTAATAATCACTCCACCAGAAGCTCAAGATAACAGAGCTTTAAGATAACAGAGAAATCTTTCTTCTCGAATTCTAAAACCCTTCCCCATGCGGCTCTAACCCACCTTGCCAGCACAGTGGCCATCACTCTCCTTCATGCACTCCAAACTGACCCGCCATGACATTCCAGTGACCTTGGTCAGCGGTCCCCCTTTGGCCAGGCAGCTCCTTCCCTAATGGCACTTCAGAGAGTCCCTGGTTTCCATCAGAACTCAACCTCAGTGCCATCTTCTACAAGGAGCCTCTTTGGATTTCAACCTCCTTCTAGTTGTTAGGACGCTTCCCCACCTCAGAGATTCCTTTGTATCTTTTGCAGCTGTTTTTCATGACGTGTTGTTTCCCTACCACTAGAATGTAAGTTCTTGGAGGACGGAAACTGTTCATTGTTTGTCTTTGCTCATCCCCAAATCTAGCACAGTGACTGGCATATGGTAGGCAATGAATGTGTGCTGAATGAATCTGTCAGGAAATGTTACAGAGCTAGATCCTAACCTCCGAACCCTTGAAATGGGTTTTGTAGCTCCTATCTCAAGCTCTTCTGATGGAAACTTGTTGGGGTGGTGGGGAAGGAGGGGAGTGGTCTTGGGTAACGTCATGCTTCTGCTTGAGACTGTTGGAGAGCAGTAGAGTGAAACTCCCAGGGAAGGATGCCCTGGGTAGGGTGCTACTCAGCACCAAGCAGCTCCCTGGCCTTGGAATCCCATGGGCAAAGTAAAGGGGACCTAGTTTGCTTGCTTCCTCCATGCATCACCTCACACCCCCAGCCCCAGCCTCACTCTTTCACCTCAAGCTGGGAAGAGCAGCCCACTGAGGTCCTTTGGGAAAGTCATGAGAAAGCTCATGGTGATTCGGGGATTGGCATCTTCAAAAAGAGCATTTCAAAGGACTTGCTCCCTACTCTGGGAGTTGCTATAGCCAAAGTACAGCCACCTGTGCCAGAGGTGAGGAGGAAAGAATGAAAACAGGCTGAGGCTTGAGAAGTCAGCCCAGCCCAGAACAGACTAGTAATCACTGCTCTAGGCTATAAAGCTGGGGCCTCCTCAAAGTCGTTTTTTCGAGCACTGAGGAGGTAGGGGCTGGTGGTAGAAAAGATTTGAAAACAAAAGCATGCGTTGCTCTGGAGAGAGAGTTTAGAAGCCCTGAGTTCTGGTCCTGGCTGAGTTTTGTGACCCTGGGCAAACCGCCTCTGGATCCACAGCTGTGAGCCTTAGTTTTCTCCTCTGCGAAATAAAACTGGTCCCTCTGGCTCTAAAAATTCCATGACCCTTACTTAATAGCTCCTTGCTCTCAGCCCAGTGGTTGCAGATAAAGTTGCCAGCCATGTTATCATCCTATCTCCTTCCAGATGAAGGGGCTTCCGGAAACCCTCTCTCTATAGCCTTTCCTACCTTCATCCCTGGACACCTTGTCCATAAGATGATCCTAATTGAGAGGGGGAGTGCGGGGAGCAGGCAGAGGGCTGGAGGGGTGGTGTGCCGAAAAGAAAGTAAGCTAGTCTTATGTTTGTTGAATGAATGAATTCATTCAGTTGATATTTAGGAATAAATCCTTCCCTTACTTTGTTTCAATATTCAATGGGATTTGCGCAGAATGCCCCAGGCTTTAATTTTTCTCTATTTTTTTCCCGTATTTCTGATTGGTAAACTCTAGCCTTAAATGTCAGGCTTCTTAATTGAGTCTGTGAGCCTGCTTGAATCCCAGGGTTAGAGGTTGGTTGTACCGACGACCCAATTACCATTTCCTGCTGTGTGTGCGTGTGTGTGTGTGTGTGTGTGTGTGTGTGTATTTCCACATTTGTGTGTATATATATTTACAGGTTATATGTGTTTGTGTGTGTGTGTATGTGTGTATATATATATATATATATATATATATATATATATGCAGAGTGTATATGTGTGTGTACTATGGAGTGTATGTGTATATATGCAAACATACAGAATGTAGAATGGTGTTTGATATGTATACATACACACATAAGTTGTTCTGTGAACAGAGTCAAAAGGTATGAGCAATTTAGCCAGTTTTTTCCTACATGGATCCAGATAATTTTCTAGAATGGTCCGACCAATTCATACATCTGCCCACAGCTTTTTCATGTTCTTGTCTTCTTTCGGCTTCTTCAAACATGGATTATTTCCCTTTTTAAAATAATAATTTTTGTCCGTTTGGTGGGTGTGAGGTAATGCTTCAGAGCGTTTGGAGTTAGTACCTCAGAGTTCTTTTCATAAGAGAAATTTTAATTTCTCTTATTAATGATTGGGAGCATTTTTTATGTAATTGTTGATAATTTGCCTTTCTTCTTTTCAAAACCATTTTATTGACTCTTTTGCTACTTATCTCTTCCAACCTAGGCATTTTTCAGAGGTTTAGAGAGGTTAAATGATATATCCAAGGTCAGTCACATACATAAGTAAGTAGCACAGTCAGGATTCAAAAACAGGTCTTTTCATTCTAAATATGGTGGCTGCTTCCTCCTCCATAAATTCTCTGGACCAGATCCCCTTATAGCCTACAAAAAGAATGGTATTCTCCAGTCTTTGGGATTTGCCTCATTCAGCTCATTCACTAATTCTAAACTTTCAGGCATGCTTCTCAGCCAATCAGTCTGCCACTCAAATTGGAGAGGAGAGAAAAAGAACAGTCTGTATGAGTTTTCCTCATCATCTCACACACAATCTGACATTCCCCCAAATCTATTCGTTCTTGTCTCTTCCTCCAACACCTTCCTTCTCTTTTCTCCTTCCCAAGATTAGCAGGTATGATGAAGGCTTCAAGGAAGGCCCATTCTCACTGCATTCTTTCCTTTCTCATTCTGTGTGAGCATGTTCACCCTAGGCCTCTCCTTCCTCCTTTTCTATTTTTTGTTAAATGATGTGCCCTTTTATATTTAGTTCATATTCCTCTTCCTTCCTTTACTCCTTCCTGTAGGGAATGTGATGTAATAGAAAGAGCACAGCTTAGGAGACTACCACTTACTGTCTGATCTTGGGCGAGAAATTGAACCTGGGTTTTCACTCATTCACATAAAATATAGGTTTTGGGAAGAGAAGATGTCTAATGTCTATACTGCCCTGTATCTTTCCTCTACTTTCTCCAGATTCCATCTCCTCCTCCTACCTGGCAGCATTACTACCCTGGGAAACCCTCCCTATTGGTGACTTCCTTCTCAAGACCATTTTGGGAAGTCACAAATCATCTTGCTTTCACCTCAATTCTCTCTGCACTCCACCTCCTTCTCTTTGCTAGCCACATTGCTCTTGAGTGGGTATCCTTCCTCTCCTCTCCTCCCTCTGTTCAGTACCCTTTATAAGTTGCCTTCCCTCATTAGAATATAAGCCCTTTGAGGGAGGACAGGGGCTTTCTTTCTTGCTTGTATCTTCAGTGCTTAGCACAGTACTTGACAGATTAATAAGCCTTCAATAAATTCTCTCTCTGTGTCTCTCTCCCTCCCCCCTCCATCTCTGTCCGTCTCTCTCCACTCCCCCATGCTCCTTTCCTCTCTCTCTCTCTCTCTCTCTCTCTCTGTATATATGTACACACACACATACACATATACACATTCACATATATACATGTGTATATACATACATACATACATATATATAGTCCTTTCCACCACTAAGATTTCATTTCTAGTGGTTAGGAGAAGACACAGGCCCTGCCCCATCCTAGCCCTAAGGCTAGCCCTACACAACAGCTAAGGTCTTTTACACCTAAGACACCTAAAGCTCTTCCTAAAGACCCCTAAGGTAAGAGAAGACAAGGGAAGATACTTTGTTGTTGGAGATCCAGAAGAATTACAGAAGTCCTCAATCCCTGGCCAAGGATATAAAGTATCCCAGAAACTAGGGAGTTGGATTGTAAAGCAGTCCAATCCCCTGAGCTACATACTTACTAAGTATGTTGAATTGTGACAGGTACTGGGGATAAAAAAAAATGAATGGGGGCACCAAGGTGGCACAGCAGATGGAGCGCCGGCCTGGAGTCAGGAGGACCCGCTTTCAAATCTGGTTTCAGACCAGACATTTGACATTGACACTTATTAGCTGTGTGACTCTGGGCAAGTCACTTAACCCCAATTGCCTTGCCAAAAAAAAAAAAGAATGAATGAATAAAGTGCTTACTATGTGCTCAGGTCTTCAAAAGTAAGACAGTCCCAGACCTCAGGGAACTTACATTCTAATGAAAGGAAACTTATCACCAGATAAGCGTACACACACACACACACACACACACACACACAATTTGAGGAGGTATAGAGCACTGATAACTAATGGTGTCAGGAATTTCTCTTGTAGCAGGTGGAAACCTTGAATGAAACTAGGGATTTTAAGAGGGGAGGGTGAAAAAGGAGAGCATTCTGGCCCTGGAGAACAGCCTATCTGAAGGCAGAGGGAGAGAAGATAGAATGCCAGGTCAGAGAACAGAAAGTAAAAAAAAAAAAAAGAAGCTTTCTTTGCCTCTTAATGTATGTGTATATTTAAAGAAAATTAAACTGTACATAGCGTAAAAGAAAGTATTCAATCTATGTCATAGATCCCAAAAAGCTAGGAGGGAAAAAAATTAACATTGAAGCTTGATTTGGAGATGTAACATTCCTTATAGAAATTTATGTGGACTGCTTCCCATTTGGTCTGATCACCACGCAGTGCTATAATTATTATGTATTTCATTATGTTTTGGACAAACTTTCTTGTAAGCTTTATTTGATAACAGTAGTAACCTCTATGCCTGTATTCTTAGTCTGAAAAACTTGTTATATAATATGATTTTCTGTTCACACTTGTTGCCAGGGACCATATCTCCTATTTCTTTTGCGTCCCTCAATAACATTTAATAGAGTGCTTAAGCTCGAAGTTTTTGCTTGATACACAAATGAATGCTTATTGCATGAATGAGTGAAAGAATGAGTTTGTGAGTGCCCATGGGGGTTTTGACTCCAACGGGAACAAGCTGGAGCCTAACCAAAAGGAAACAAGCCCAGACCTTGCTTTCTGATGTACCTTGTGGCTTGGCTGGGAACCAACTCAATTCTTTTTTGGCCTCTGAAAGAACACTCCCTCTTTCCATTGACCTATTTAAGTCCAAAAACTCCCCCTTTGCAACCAATTTTCTCGTTTAGTGCACGTTTGAATCCTTTGGATACAAGATGACCTCTCAGCTACAGAGGCTTACCATGCCTTCTTCTGCTGGCCCTACTCACAAAATGGAGGAACCCTGGTCAGAGCATAGGACTTACCCATTTTGCTAGGTTTGTTGTTTTAAGAAGCCCAGAATTAAAAAACATTCAAGATCTTTGTTTGAGGAGGTTCCGAGCACTGATAATGGCATCAGGAACGTCTTCCCATAGAACTAGTGGAGCCTTGAATGAAAATAAGAATTCTAAGAAGGAGGAGGTAAGGAGAGAGGCAATTCTAGGCATAGAGGATGGTCTGTTCAAAGGCACAGAGAGAGGAGGTAGTCAAAAACCTCAAGACCAAGGACCTGAAGTCAGGATTGGAATCATAGGACCGCAGGACTTAGCGCTGGGAGGGACCTTGGAAATTATTTAGTTCCAAACCTTGATTTGATAGATGAGGAAACTGAGACCTAAGCCAAGTTCCTGTCACATGTACAACAGAAAGAGTGATCAGGCAAATTGATGCGTTCGCTTCTCTCTGGTTGGAAGAGGAGTTCAGTGCTATGACACAGCCCTTTTTGTTTAGGGGAGGGTCAGGGGAACATGTCCATGCCAGTTACTACTTGGCCACGGGGCACACTTGCCTGTATTCAGCTTCGCTGATATCTTGAGGGAGGAGGATGGGTGCCTTTTCCACGCTGGTGCGCTGCATAATTTTTGACGTGGAATTTTCATTTGCCCACAGGGCCACGTTGTCCACAACTGGAAAGTGAGATGGTTTGTATTGAGGCAGAACACGCTGCTGTATTATAAGCTTGAGGGGGGCCGGAGAGGGACCTCTCCTAAAGGCCGGATCCTCCTGGATGGCTGTACCATCACGTGCCCTTGCCTGGAGTATGAGAATAGACCGGTATGTGGAAAAAGTTACTTTTTTTAATTGAAAAAAAAAAAAAAAAGAAAAACAGTGGGATGAAAGTCCCTTCCTTTTAGCTCCTTCCTTTCTCTACTCATCCGCAGACTCTTACCACCATTGCCCACTTGGATTTGTTCTTATTATGGTAAATCTGATGTTTTGATATGACCTCTCTAGGATGTTTTTACCACTTTATTATTATTTTTAGTAGTTGTAATGATGACAGTAATTCACATTTATATGACACTTCGTTTCCAGAATGCTTTCCTAACAAAAACCCTTTGAGGTAGGTAGCATAATTGCTATTAGTCCCATTTTACAGATGAGGAAACTCAGGCACTGAGAAGCGATACTTAGATCACAACAGAATTAAAATCCAAGATTCTGGATTATAAATTGAGCGCTCTAACTACTAAGCCACATTGTCTTTTACCACTTTGGTGATTGACTCTTGACTTGTGTTAAGATTTGTTCTTCTTAAAATTAGAGGCAACCCTACCCCATCCTTATAGAGCAACTGAATTAATGAATCAATTGATATTTTTTCCTTATATAATGGAATATGCTAGGTACTAGGACTACCACGTATAAGACATATACTCTGCCTTTATAGAAGAAAGGAAAAAAAGCATTTATAATTGCCAATAATAAATTAAATCATGCTTAATAAATAAAAATCCAGTGTTCTTAAGCACTTTACAAATATATTATCTTCACAACAACTCTGGGTGGTATTATTATTTTCCCCCTTTTACAACTGAGGAAACTGAGGCAGACAGAGGTTAGGTTAAGTGACTTGCCCAGAGTCACACATAGCTAGTAAGTGTCTGAGGCTAGATTTGAACTCAGGTCTTCCTGACTCCAGGTCCAGAACTCTATCCACTGTGCCTAACTATAAAGCTGCCTTTTATAGTTGTAGGCTATAAAAAGTTAATATGAAACCAAAATGTTAAAACAGGCAAATGAAAGGACAAGATGGAATTAGGGAGTGGGGGTGGGGATGAGGGTCTGCCCTAGAGAGTAAGATGTGGGAGACTGACAAATGACAGAATATGGATCACGAATAGAAGGATGAGAATTGACCTTGGGAATATGGTCTCATGAAGTGGGTCTCTCAATACAGCCAGAGGTTGCTGAGAGGCTTGGTCTTCTGCACCCTACCTGGATACATCCTCTAAATGTGGTCAGATTGTCTTACCTGGAAGAAGTCTTCTGTTGTTAGTACCCAGTGTTGAGAGGGCAAGAGTAGGCATGAGGTCATCATTTCACAGATTTAGAGCCACAAAGAACCAGAAGGTCGTCTACTCTGACCTCTTCATTTTTCTGATGGGAGAACAGACATTCAGTGACTTGTTCACAGTTCCATAGTTAACAGGTGACAAAGAGGGTCCTCTTGTCACTTTGCTATATTTTCTCTAGAGCTTCCCTACACTTTGCATTTTAAGAATTCTTAGTAAATGATTTAAGATGAAGTAAATGACCAATTTCAAGAGATAACAAGTGGAGGTCACTTCTAGCTTTAAATACTGTGGCTATGATGAAGTCTTGTCTCTGCCTATGAGTGCTGTTCAAAGCCCAAGCAAGCTCAGGAGACAGGATGACAATTTATGGGTAATGAGAACTTTAGACTTTTAGAAAATCATTATCCAATAGGACCTGAGATGCTAAGGGATTTTGGTGTCCAGAATCCAATCTCGTTGATCTCCAAGGCTTTTTGGATCCATAGGGTTCTTTGAATCATCCTGGTTGGGTCCCAGAGGGTGTCCTGACCCTTCCACTCTTTTGCATATTCTTGCCAAGCTCCAATGTGATTGGCTGACTGTTTCTTACCACAGCTCCTCATTAAGCTGAGGACCAGAACATCCACAGACTACTTCTTGGAGGCCTGTTCCAGAGAAGAGAGGGATGCCTGGGCCTTTGAAATAACAGGTGCAATTCATGCCGGACAACCAGGAAAAGTCCAGCAGCTTCACATCATGAAAAACTCCTTCCAGCTTCCCTCTCACATCAGCCTTCAGTGAGTATGACTCCGTCTTTCCACATCCTGTGCTTCATTTATCACTAATCTTCAGAGCTTTTAAGGGCAAGTGATTAATAATGCCACATCTTTGTGGTTCAGTTGTTTCAGTCACGCCTAATTCTTTGTGACCCCATTTGGGGTTTTCTTGGCCAAGATACTGGAGTAGTTTCCCATTTCCTTCTCTAGCTCATTTTACAGATGAGGAAACTGAGGCAAATAAAGTGATTGACTTACCCAGAGTCACACAGCTAGTAAATATTGGGAGCTGGATTTGAACTCCAATCTTCCTGACTTCTGGCCCACTGCTCTATCCACTGTGCCACCTAGCTGCCCAATAATGCCACATACTTGATCCATGGTTCCTACCACTCTTCCAGGTATCAATCTTCCCATTCCCGTTTGATATTTTTTACTTCAACCTATAAATGGTTCTTTGAAGCACCTCAGTCAGTCAAGAAGCGTTTATTAAATGCCTGCCGTGTTCCAGGCGCTGTGCTAAGTCCTGGGCATATAAGACAAAAGACAGTCCCTGCTCTCCGTGAGAGAGACAACACGTAAACAACTGTATGAACAAGATAGAAGAGGTAGCTGGGATGTGAAGGAAGCCATGGAGGCCAGGATGTGGAAATGAGGAAGGAGAGAATTCCAGGAATAGAGGACAGACAGTGGAAATGGCTGGCACTTGTGTGAGGGACAGGGAGGCAGGCCAGTGTCACTGCATTGCAGAATACATTGGGAGGAGTAAGGTGTAAAAAGACTAGAAAGTTAGGAAGGGGCCAGCTTATGAAGGGTTTTATATTTGATCTCAAATTCTGTCTTTCTTCCTCCCCCCCAATCCCTCTATTCCACCGTGTTAGACTCAGAACTACCTCCTGGTCCTGCCAAGCCATTTTGCTATTATTCTGTCTATTAGTAGCTTACCTGCTAATAATATAGACCACTTTCAGCCAAGTCTTTTCCCTTATACTCCGTGGCCAGATGGGTACATTTTGGCAAAGGGTGCCTTTCCCACATTGAACAAGACACTAATTACTTTCTTTTCCATTGCATAGTGATATAATGATAAAATGCATGACAGTAGCTGTGGAATACGCCCATCACCCAACATGGAACAGGGAAGCACCTATAAAAAGACCTTCATAGGTATGCCCAAAGGGATGGCCGCTCGTTGGCTGGCAGGGGAGGGTGGGTTGCACTATGCAAATACACAGATAGATGGGAGTCTGGAATTTTGCTCAAGGGGTTACAGAGAGCTTGGCTGTGCTGAGGTAGAATTTGTTAGCAAACAGTTGGGTGGTGGGGTATGCCATCAACGTTCTTTGTCATTATGGGGGGGGGCACACTGGCAGTCTTTCAGTCTGCTTTTTGGTTGTGTTGTCAGACACCATCTGTTTTTATTTGGGATGACGCTGGCTGTTTAACGGGGCCGGTTGCTGAGAGGGCTGTGAGGGTGGCAGTACCTTCTGCCCTAGGGAGATCTGACCTGTCCTCACCTTCCCCCAGGCTCGTCTCTGGTGGACTGGCTAATCTCCAGTCACTTTGCTGCTAGTCGGATTGAAGCTGTCACTCTGGCCTCCATGCTGGTCGAGGAGAACTTCCTTAAGCCCATTGGAAACCGGAGCACCGAGGCCATTCGCTCTGGGGATTTAGCAGAGCAGTTTGTAGATGATTCCACGGCCCTGTACATTTTTGTAAGTGGTAGTGGGACGCCCATTAACGGTACCTTCCTTTCCACTGCCTGCCGCTGGAGACACAGACTTGCATAGAGGAGGTTAGGAAAAACTGTGCAGTGTGTGCTATGCAGCTATGGGAAGGGGTGGAATTAGTCACACGGACAATTCCATTATGGGTTCTGACCTGTTTCTGACTTGAGGAATTTAATTTTCTTGGAAGCCTAATCATTGCTCCTTTCTTTATTTTCTGTAGACTGAAAGCTCTAAGAAGAAGACAAATTCGAAAGAGGAATTCAACTTTAGCACCGCTGAACTGAGTGGCACAGTGATTAAACAAGGATATTTAGCCAAGCAGGTATAGCTAAGTGGGCTTCTCAACTGGGCAGAAAGAGAATTCCATGCCAACTGGCGTAGCCAGGGAATGAGGAAAGAGCAGAGAACAGAGACAAGGATAATACCTGTAAGAATCCTATGGTGCAGTTTGGATTACACAGACAAAAACTGCTATGGGAAGGAAGTTCAAAAATATACCTGTATTTATTTTTTTATTTTGTGAGGGGAGGAGGTCTGGACATGGGGTGTTATTGGCATATGGAAATTCTCTCCTCCGCCCATTTGGATCAAGAACTCATCTGCGACTTAGTCTTATAGTTGACTGGGCACTGAAGCCACACCACCAGCATGGGTTACAGCCAGGACTTGAACTATATACGTATATCTGCATCACTGTGAAGGGCAGCTAGGTGGTAGAGAGGATAGGGTCTAGAGTTGGGAAGACTCGTCTTCCTGAGTTCAACTCTGGCCTCAGACACTTCCTAACTGTGTGGCCCTGGGCAAGTCACTTCACCCTGTTTTCCTCAGTTTCCTCATCTTTAAAATGAGCTAGAGAAAGAAATGGCAAAACCACTCTAGTGTCTTTGCCAAGAAAACCCAGATGGGTTCACAAAAAATCGGAAATGACTGAACACAAAAAATATCAATGTGAAGTTTGCTAACAAAAGCACACTCTATTTGCCTAACTTGCCTCCCTGCTTCTTCTCCCCCCGTTTTGTTTGGATTAGGATAAGACGCTGAATTTTCTGAGCTTACCCTTCTTGGCCCTAACAGTTCTGCAAAAGGGAGCTCCTTTTCTCATAAAACTCCTCTGATCCGGGGATGACTTCAGCAAAGGTCCCAAAACAATGTTGCACATTTTGGTTTGCAGGTTCTGCTTGAACTTGCATAAAGATGCAGTTAATGTGTGAAAGAATTGTAAGGAACAATTGTTTTTGTCTGTTCCAGGGACATAAGAGAAAAAACTGGAAGGTGAGGCGCTTTGTTCTGAGGAGTGACCCTGCTTTCCTGCACTATTACAACCCTTCCAAGGTGAGCACAGTTCAGCACCAGCCCTGGGGGTGATCCTTGCAGCCACATGTACCTTGAAGGATTATTTTCAGGAAAATGCTCGTGATGAAATGTGAGAGGTGATGATTATTACCCTTCCCAGCCATGCCTTTCTTCCTAAATTGATTTATAATTGTTCTTCCTTTCTGTTTCAGTGGACAATAGTGATACCAGTTTGGACCTTTTTCATTTGATTACTGCAGTAGAACCCTCCTAACAGAATTTTCTGTTCTTGCTTTCAATTTCCTCCCCCTCCAAAGTAGAGCAGATATTTCTTGAAGATTAGTTTCATTATGGTTCTCTGTACGTCTGTCTTCAAGATTATTTGTGATTACCTGTTGGGAAAGCCTGCCTCCCCTGTGATGAAACATTTCAGTCTTATCTTTTCATTCAAGTCTTCCATAATCTAACCCCAGTCCTACCTTTCCAGTCTTTTCGTTCATTTTTCTACACAGACCCTCTCACTTCGCCACACAGATTCTCTGGAAATACTCCCTTGCCCTTTCCTGTTTTTGCTCATGATATCCATCCCTACTTCTCTCTCTCTCTCTCTCTTTTTTTTTTTGTGAGGCAGTTGGGGTTAAGTGACTTGCCCAAGGTCACACAGCTAGTAAGTGTTATGTGTCTGAGGCTGGTTTTGAATTCAGGTCCTCCTGAATCCGGGGCCGGTGCTCTATCCACTGCCACCTAGCTGCCCCCCCCCTACTTCTCTTGCTATTCAAATGCTACTTATCATTTAAGACCCAGCTAAAGTAATATCCCTTCCATGAAGCCTTTAGAGACTTAAAGCCCATAGTCATCTCTCTCTCTTCCTAACTCGTATTTACACTAATTTAACAACGAATGATGTACTTCTTTGTGATATCCCTTGATGAATGTGCCAATTCTATAATATTGTTAGAAATAGAGGTAAAAAGTTTTTGGATGAGCATGGTGTCAGATGTCATTATGACAGAAATTCAGCTTTAAGAAAAGAAAGTTTTTGGGTAGGACGATTCTTTTGTCAGGGAAAAGGGTCAGGCCAGAAGTAATTATCAGACTTTATTCGTGAAGATGTAGCTAATAGACATCCCAAGTCAGCAAGAATGAATGAACAAGTGAGGCCAACATTATAGAGTTGATACTGACTTGAAAAGTCCAAGCTTCCTTGTTTAAACGCCTCATGTCAATGGAAAAGCTGCACATAGGCATCTCATAACAGAAATATTTAGTTCCGTTGTGAACTAGTGGTAATGACAACTTATTAAGTTGGGGCACTATACTAGCTCTTGCTGAGTTTAGCAATATTATATGTGTGTGTTAAAAATATAATGTTAAATTTTATGAGGAAAAAGGGATTAAAAAGCAAAGTAATGTCACAGATGATGGATTTTTTTTTAGTGCATCAGTGGCACAATGTTGCATTTATTTCTATGCTGTTGAGCTTTGGGGGGATTTGTTTTTTAAGGTAAAAGATCTGTTGCATGATCTACTGTTTTTACTATTCTGCACTTTCTGTTTGTATTATCTAATTTCATTTATGAATAGAAGGGGAGTGGATTTAGACATACACTCCACATGTGTTCCAGTCCGTTATTCTGTAGTTGAATCTTAATAAACATTTCAGTAAATTTATGAAAAAAAAAAAAAGCCAAGCTTCCACGGGGCAGCTAGGTTGCACAGTGAATTCAGAGCACCGGCCCTGGATTCAGAAGGACCTGATTCAAATCTGGCCTCAGACATATAACACTTACTAACTGTGTGACCCTGGGCAAGGCACTTAACCCCATTGCCTAGCCTAAATAAATAAATAAATAAAAGTTTAAAAAGAGAGAAAAGGCCAAGCTTCCTTATCAGAGGAGTGACCCTGCAAACGGACCACGTGACTGTCAGCTGTCACCATGACTTCTGTTGCCATTATTTTGTTCTAGCTTCAAGCAAATCTTACTTCTGTAGTTAAAGGCAACTCATTCCTTTTTGCGTCACTTGGATTTCTTTTGTGTCAACAGGAAGAGAACAAGCCAGTTGGTGGAATTTCTCTCCGGGGCTCCCTGGTTTCAGCTTTGGAGGATAATGGAGTTCCCACTGGTAAGAGACAGCTTCTGCATCCTACCCCAAGACAGCAAGGACCACACGCATTCATCCAGTATCTCAGAAGCACTACGCTGATAAAAAAAAAAAAGGGATTGCACAGGTTTGATAGATGAAAAGGGTAGTCCCTTTATACCTTTTGCTTCTTGGAGGTACAATAGGAAGGATCTTGTTCACTGCCACTATTTTAGAACAGATAGGGGAAAAAAATGGCAGGCGAGGAGACTTCAGTATTTTTCTACATACTCATGCCCCTAGAAAATGGAATTTCTATGCCTCTGGCACAGGGATGAAGCATTTTTTTTTTGGTCCCAGGTACCACTGTGCTAAGACAGTATAATATTTGTGCGTTCCACTTTTCAAGACCAAAGCAGTCAGGAGATAAAGGAAAACAATGAGATGGACTACATCACATAGATGCTTTCCTTTGCTCTCTAACTTACTGAGCAGTGAATTGTTTTATTTGGCTCAGACCTATGATTTCACTGGTGATGGAACTTGCAGTATTTCAGTTCTTCCCACCAATGCAGATTTGCCGCTTATCTTGTAATTACCCTCTTGAGAATTGTCTAGAGGCATTTACTTTTAATTGCCACAGTGAAGGACCCTTCAGTTCATATTCACAAATATAGCAACCAATATGCATTGTGAGGACCTTCTCCCATTTCCATTAACTTTACTTTTCACAAGCATCTTCTAGATTCCAACCACCTCCCTTTCCATACCTCACCTAGCATCGTTTGGTACTGCTCTAATGCATGTGAAGTATCATAGGTACAAGTGCATCTTCTTGCCAGGCCAAAGCCGCTGTAGCTTATTAAAACTTTTCTTTCTTGCCCGGTGGGTAAGAGCAAGTTTGTTGTTACATGGAAGCTCAAAGCTGGGGTTTTAAAAGCAATCCATCATTTCACTAGCTGACTTTTCTCTCTAGGTGTTAAAGGCAACGTGCAAGGCAACCTCTTCAAAGTGATCACAAAGGATGACGTCCACTACTACATCCAGGCCAGCAGCAAGACAGAGAGAGCTGAGTGGATTGAAGCTATCAAGCGATTAACATGACTGAGGTCACCAGGCTCACGCCTACCTCTGAAGACATCTGCATGACCTCTTCTAGAAAAGGGAGGATCAGGCCTTTTGTCAAGGCCTTGAACATTTCAGCCACTTTTGATATACATTTGGTAGCACTTTGATGTGAGACTGGAGCTGAGGGCTTCCTAGGAACATTCTAGTTATAGAAACTACCAACATCTTCCTTATCAACTAGGAAGCTGTCTCATTGATGGTCACTATTCCAGCATCTTCATTTTGGTGCCAGACCAGGAACTGCTTTTTTATGGAAGCTTAAAAATCACATTCTCCCATGGCCTCCCACCAATTTTCACAGATGCCGAGGAGGGATAAAATAGGGCAATTCTTCTTTCTTGATGACAAATGGAAATGGGAGGCTATTTTTAGCTCTGTGAATTCCTGAAATGTTTTACGAATACTTTAGACACAGGTGCTTAATAAATATTTGTTGAATAAATGAGACAGCTCTCAAAATGCTTCTCAACAAAATCGGTGGTAGTTTAGAGGACAAGACCTCTGGGGTGGGACTCAGTCTGGCTCCAGCACTTAATTTGATGCCACTCACTAAGAATCCCTGACCTCGTAGGGTCCTGGTTAAGATCAAGTGAGACTGACTGTATATGAAAAAACTATGACTTCTGGATTGGAAGTAACCTCAGTTACACCTAACGGCACCCCATCCTAGAAGCACGAATGAGAACAGTGGTGGTGACATGCACTTCAAGCTGAATACTATTTTAACTCTTCCCCTAAATCACGAGTGACAGAAAACTCTGGTTTTGCACTTGGCATAAAACGAGCCATAAGTCAAGTGGGTGGTCTTGCACTACTTGGATTCTGAGAATGGCTGTCCAGTGAGACGCAGCACACCAGGAAGAGTGATCGGTCACTACGGCACGATAAGCTGCTAAAAGTAGATTAAAAGTCAGTAAAGAAAAATCTAAAGGTCACAGGGACTAAATCAGGTATGGTCTTGAAATGAATGTTTGCTGAGAATTAGTCTAAATTAGTGAGAATTCTTGGCATCCAAGTAAGGAAGAGGCTAATCTGACTTATCTGTTACTTTCAACCTGGATAAATTAAGCTAATAAAGTATCTGGCCTTATGAAACTAAGTTCTTATAGTTACTTGAATGAATAAAATAAGGCATAATTTGTCAATAGATACAACCAAAGAGCTTGAATATTAATTTGTTCTCTTTATTCTCTCAAATTCTATTATAGCTTATCTTGAATGATCAGGAAACCCAAATGTTCTACCTTACCTTGTTTTCAGACCACTCTTTAAAGCACAATTTTCCATTTGCTTTTCAATCAAACTTCTAAATTTCTATGGAGTTACGCATCTAGTTTACAGCTTCTCAAAAACAGAAAAGGGATGATGGGAAAACCTTCAAAAAATTTTTAGAAATTTAGACAAATTCATTTGATACCATGTGGCTTGGTGACTAGGACTGAAAATTGTGGCCTGTTTTCGACCACCTACATTATCACCTTTCTCTGAACCCAATGTCCAGTGTCAAATCTCTGTGGCCTTTGCCTGGGCCATGCAAGAGAGCACATTCCAAGCCTGGCATGCTCTCCAGCTTTATCTCTGCCTCTCAAAATGCTCGTTTCCTTTAAGTACTACCTACTACAACAGGCATTTCTCGATCCCTCTCAGCTGCTGGTGCCTTCCCCCCCCATCCCAAAGTTATCTCTTATGTTATATATGCTTAAACACTTACATCTCCCAATAGCTTTGAAGCAGCAATGGTTTCATCTTCAAGAAAGTTTCATGGGACTGAAATGTAAAGGCTAGGAATCTTGAGGAAATAATGAAGGAAAAAAAGCTACCTGTGCATAACATGAAACTATCAACCTAAAAACATTGGGAATGTAGTGACCAAGCTCTGTGATGCCTACCTCCAACAATCTGGTACGTGAAGGCTCAACAGATATGTTAGTCTTGGTCTGTTTCCTACCTCACCAGAGCTGGCCAAAACAAATAGTGAAAACAGGACTTATTTTCTTCCTGCATTTTATTTATATTTCTTTTTGCAAATCAGCAACATGTTGCAATGGGCAAAGAGCTGGCCTCAGAGTTAGCATAACCAGGGTTCAAGTTCTGCCTCTAACATACTGGCAATGAGATGGGAGGCCAAGGCAAATTACTTTTTTTTTTTTGATGCCCTGACTAAATCCCTAAAACTATTAAATTGCATAATAGTTGCTGATCTGCACTTGTATGGGGCACTTCCTGATTGGGAAACTCCTTTAACTGATGAAAACACAGGTCTTTATACTCATAAGCTTCATGCATACAAATACGTACACAGATGGTAGCTAGCATTTATGTATGCCTTAATGTTTCCAAAGTGTTTTACATGTTATCTCACTTGATTCTCACCACCATCCTGTAACATAGGTGTTATTATCCTTGTTTTATAGGTGAGGAAACTGAGGCGGAAGTTAAGTGAACTGCCGAGGGTCACAAAACTTAAGTGTGAGGTAGGATTTGAATTCTGATCTCCCTTAGTAGTCCACTGTATCACCTAGCTGTGTATGGTATCACACACACACACACACACACACGCACACTGCATTATGCACTTCAACCACATACAGGAGGCTAATGACTGCTGGGATGCATTAAGCTCCTCTTTTTCAATTGTTAATCTTGTTAGCACGATCTCCAAAGATGCATAGTTCCACAGGTAAAACCTACAGCAGCTCTCTGAAGTGCCAACTCCTTTTCCTTGAGTTTTTAAGAATTGGTTTAATACACACACATACAAATTTTACATGTCATATAAAAAGATGCCACTAAGCCAATCAATAGAACATGCTCTAAAGTTGAGCATGTTTGTTTTTTCCATCATGCTGAGAAATTTGCACAGATCTACTCCTTGAAGAGTAATATGGGAAATGACAAAAGATGCTATATTCACCTAGGAGGGGACACTTAACAATGGTCTGAATTCTACATGATAAATTCCACTGGAGTTCACAGTGGAAAATTCAATGTCTATCCACTTCTGTGCACACTTGGCACTACCCCGTCACCCTGGACTTTCAAAGCCTAAAGAAAAATGTCTATAGAAAAATTTTGATGACATTTCAATTTTCCATTCCAAGGTATGTCTGAAGTGCCCCACACCAGTTAGTTTATGATTTCTTTGAGTACTTGTTCTCAGAAGGAATGTGAAGGTGAAAGATTCACTAAGGGACAAATTTCACTGACCAAATGTTGAGAAGCAGATCATTTTGCTTCACTTAGACATCAAAGAGGGAAGAAAGTGACCTTTCCTGCTCCTTTTAGAATATTCCGAGTAGTTGAAAGGGTTCTTCCTGAAGGTGACTAAAGAACAGAGCAGAAATTATTTCTCCGTTACATAATCTTCTTCACTTTTATTCCATACTCCCTATTAGCTACAGTGACCCCAGCCCCTAAGAGACTGAAGTAAGACATCTGACCTTGAAATAGCACCAGAAGTGCCTATTAGCTCAGTACATATTTGTTTGAGTCACAATAATGAGGTTGGCCCGGATCAATCTCATGCATGTTCTTCCACAGTTACCTCCTATAAGGTCAATAGTCTGAGTTAGAGACTCAATCTATGATCAAAGAGATCATACAAATATCCACAATAACTATACCAGAAAGTGACAATGCCACTTACCCCTAGATTTTCTTACCTACCTTTAAAAGTAGGCAAAATGTAATCCAATCATAGTCCAAATTAATAGTATTAATTTCAATTAGCTTGACTCCAAAGAAAAACTCATGAGAAATACACCACCATCCAAATCTGTAATGTATAAATTACTCTTCCTTTTTAGGGAGTTCGATCCCTTGATGGCACCTCCCTAATCTATTTTTTTTCCCTATTAAAAAAGCTACCTCAATTCTACATTTTAAACATTGTTAAACATTCTTTTAAAGTTCTAATAAAAAAATATTTTAAAGGAACAGTATCCTTTCCTATTCTACTATTCTCAACTATAACTTAAAAGGCAAATATCAAGTGAAGCAATACAGAACCTGGATGATGATAAATCACACCACTTATGATCATTATTTTTAGGCAGTTAAGAGGTACAGTACAATTACTTAGTTGCATTTTAAGAACCATCATCCTAAGAGTCTCAAATGCCTAAACCTTTTTATGTCTGATATACCTAAACTGCAACACTCTATTATTGTGGAGGTTAACTACCTATTTCTGCTTTTCCTTCTTTCTTGAAAGGATGTTGCAATGTCTTCTTTTTCTAGCTGACAGAAACTTTTCTAATCCAAGGAGTTAATCCTTTCTTTTCTCACTGAGGTATGATCCCAAAGGCCAGCTGCTCACCTACCCAAGTACTCCTAACTCTGAATTCTTAACTCCCTATTCTCATTATACTTTGATGGGGAATGCTTTCAATAGGAGTGAAGAAGGAAGAAGCCTAGTTAAATATCCCAGAAATTTATTGAACGTTCTGCTTGAGTACAATGAATGTAGAAAGAATGGGACTGTTTGCTTTTGGTGCTCCTGGTAAATCTCAAAGAGGCACTAAATGGAAGCGGCTGCCAATCAGAAGTAGAGATTGAAAACCTCAGGCCCAATTGTGTGGATGGTCTCAGCTTGTGAGGTTTTAGTCTCTTAGTGAAATTAGGCCACTCCCTTTAAAAGAGATCAATGTGCCAGCATTTGGGAGGGCATTTCACATGCTGGTCTGTTGAAACATTTAAATACTTTCAAATACAAAATATTCAGCTTTGAAGTTTTCAATACTGGAAAACTTTCAAGTCTACAGTGTCTAAGCCAAGAAGAGCTGGTCTGTGTTCCTCCAGTTGGACGCCCTTTCCCAAAAAAGTTAATCTTCAGCTTTGGCTTCCATTTCTTCAGCATCATCATCTCCGTCCACCTCAGCATTTTCCCTCTCAAGCCTCTCCAGCTGTCTCGCAAGCTCAGTTTCATCTGTGTCCGTAACCACTTTGGGCTGTGGAAAGAGGATCAGCATATTACA